AACCCTGCTTGCCCACTCCTTCCCTTCCCATGGCAGCAAACCAGAAGCCCACCCACCTCCCCCCAGACCCTCACCCCCCTTGCCCTGTTCTTAAGGGGCTCCCCAAAGGCCAGCTGCCCAGTTCTTCCGTGGCAGGCAGGTCAGAGGCCTGGCTCTCTACCGGTGTCACGTTTCTCCCTCGTTTATTTTCTCCCGGGCATGAATACAAATTTCTTCTCTCCACGTCCTGCTCCTTCAGTCTTATTACATCACCTGGCTGCTACACACTGCTCAGTTACTGTTTTCTGAGGACTTGAAAGTCTGCTCCCTCCCGCTCGGTCACTCTGATCCTGTGAGAAGCGCACAGGGCTCTGAAGCCAGCGGGAGTCGGGTTTAATCCCAGCTCCACCACTGACCCGCTGCGTGACCTTGGGCAAGTCAATTAACCTCCCCGAGCCCTGCATTTTACATCTGCCTGAAATTATAGAGACAATCTTATTTTCTTTAGCAGTAGGACTTCCTGCTGGAAGGAAACCGAGTACTTTTTGAGGGGTGAAAACTATTTCTTTTCTTTGCTTAATCCCTTCACCTTTTCACCCAGTCCCTCCACCCCCTCCCCTCTGATGGCTGCCAGTCTGTACTCTGTGTCTATGAGTCTGTGTCTATTTTGTTCGTTAGTTTATTTTGTTCTAGATTCCACAAGTGAGTGGAATCATATGGTACTTGTCTTTCTCTGGCTGGCTTATTTCATTTAGCGTAATGCTCTCCATGGTCCATCTATGCTGTTGAAAAAGGTAAGATTTCCTTCTTTTATTATAGCCGAGCAGTATTCCATTGTGTAAATGTCCTGTAGTTGTTTTGTCCACTCATCTACTGATGGACACTTGGGCTGCTTCCATAGCTTCACCATTGTAAATAACACTGCAGTGAACATGGGGGTATGTATATTCTTTCCAATTAGTGTTTCAGGTTTCTTTGGATATATTCTCAGAAGTGAAATCACTGAGTTATAAGGCAGGTCCATTTTTAATTTCTTGAGGAATCTCCATCCTGTTTCCCACAGTAGCTGCACCAGTCTGCATTCCCACCAACAGTGCACTAGGGTTCCCTTTCCTCTACATCCTTGCCAGTGCTTACTGTTTGCTGGTTTATTAATGATGGCCATTCCGACAGGTGTGAGGTGATATCTCATTGTGGTTTTAATTTGCATTTCTCTGATGGCTAGTGATGCTGAACATCTTTTCACATGTCTATTGGCCATATGTATATCGTCTTTGGAGAAGTGTCTATTCAGATACTTTGCCCATTTTTTAATTGGATTTTTTTTGTTTTTGTTTTGTTTTGTTTGGTGTTGAGTTGTGTAAGTGCCTTATAAATTTTGGATATTAACCCCTTACAGATATGTCATTGACAAATACGTCCTCCCACTCAGTGGGTTGTCTCTCCATTTTGTTCCTGGTTCCCTTTGTTGTGCAAAATCTTTTCAGTCTGATGTAGGTCCATTTGCGTATTTTGTCTTTTGTTTCCCTTGCCTGGGGAGGTATATCAGATAAGATATTGCTATGAACAATGCCCAAGATTTTACTGCCTATGTTTTCTTCTAGGATGTTTATGGTATTGAGTCTAACGTTTAAGTTTTCAATCCATTTTGAGTTTATTCTTGTGTGTGGTGTAAGAAGGTGGTCTAGTTTCATTTTTTTGCCTGCATCTGTCCAATTTTCCCAACACCATTTATTGAATAGACTATTCTTGCCTCCTGTTTCAAATATTAATTGACCATAAAGGTGTGGGTTTATTTCTGGGCTCTTTATTTTCTCCCATTGATCTACATGTCTGATTCTACTCCACTACCATGCTGTTTTGATTATTGTGCCCTTGTAGAATAGTTTGATATCAGGCAATGTGATTCCTTCAACTTTGTTTTTCTTTCTCAAGATTGCTGTGGCTATTTGGGGCTTTTGTGGTTCCACAGATACTTTTGGGATATTTGTTCCAGTTTTGTGAAATACATCATTGATATCTTGATAGCAATTGTGTGGAATCTATAAATTGTTTTGGGTAGTATGGACATTTTAATGATGTTAATTCTTCTTATCCATAAACATGGTGTATGCTTCCACTTGTAGCTTCTTCAATTTCTTTTTTCACTGTCTTATAATTTTCCAAGTACAAGTCTTTTACATTCTTGTTTAAATTTACTCCTAGGTGTTTTATTTATTTTTGATGCAATTGTAAATGGGATTGTTTTCTTAGTTTCCTTTTCTGTAGTTCATTATTGGTGTATAAAAATGCAGTTGATTTCTGGATATTTATTTTGTATCCAGCTACTTTACTGAAATCATTTATCAGCTCTAGTAGGGTTTGTTTTTTTTTGGTGGAATCTTTAGGGTTTTCTATATACAGTACCATGTTATCTGCAAAACAATAACAGTTTTACTTCTTTCTCTCCAATTTGGATGCCTTTTGTTTCTTCTTCCTGTCTGATTGCAGTGGCTAGGAGTTCCAGTACTGTGTTGAATAGGAGTGGTGAAAGAAGACACCCTTGTCTTGTTTCTGATCTTAAGGGAAATGCTTTTAGTTTCTGCCCATTGAGTATGATGCTGGCAGTGGGTTTGTCATATATAGCCTTATTATGTTGAGGTGTATTTCCTGTATTCCCACTTTGCTGAGAGTTTTTATCACAGATGGGTGCTGGATTTTATCAAATGCTTTTTCTGCATCTACTGATATGATCATGTGGTTTATATCCTTCATTGTGTTCATGTGGTGAATCACATTTATTGATTTGCAAATATTGTACCATCCTTGCATTCTCAGAATAAATCCCACTTGGTCATGGTATATGATTTTTTTAATATATTGCTGGATCTGGTTTGCTAATATTTCACTGAGGATTTTAGCATCTGTGTTCATCAGAGATATTGGCTTATAGTTTTCTTTCTTTGTATTGTCTTTATCTGGTTTTGGAATTAGGATAAAGCTGGCCTTGTAAAATAAGCTTGAGAGTCTTCCCTCCTCTTGAATTTTTTGGAATAGTTTGAGGAGAGGTGTTAGTTATTCTTTGAATGTTTGGTAAAATTCACCTGTGAAGAAATCTGGTTCAGGGCTTTTGTTTGTTGGGAGTTATTTGATTACTGCTTCAATTGCATTTGTTGTAATCAGGTGAAAATTTGATAAGCCCTATGAGGTGGGTGGAAGAGGCCCCTCCCCCCACAAGAGGCCTGCTTGAGGAACTGGAGGTGGCTGCCTTGGACCACCCACCAGCTTTTATTCTGTGACTAGACTAAGCTGGTTGGGGGGTTGGGATAATGCAGGAGGTTCTTGGATGTTTAATGAAGGGAAAGAAAAGGAGGGAAGAAGCCACTGGCAAGACCACTTCGAAGCATCAGGACCCTCACCCAGCTCTCTAGTGTCACCTCCCCCCCGTCTGTCCCTTGGCCATTCTGCTCTGCTGGAAGTTGCCAGGACATGCCACCTCACTAGGCCTTTGTCTGTGCTGTTCCCTCCGCCTGGAACACCCTCCCCAAGTTGTCCAGCAAGCAAACACGGTTTTTCCAGTTTCAGCTCAAATAGTGCCTTTCCCCTGCCCCACCTACCCATTCCCACTCCTGGGGCAAATGTGGGTGCTGCCCCTGCAGGACCCACCACACTGGGCACATAGAGGCCAGCTCTTTGTGCTGTGGTTGTTCGGTGAGTCTACCCCTTTACCAGACTGCAAAGGTCAGGAGGGCAAGCACCGAGGTTCTGTTTTCCTTTGACTCCCCAACCAAGTACAATGCCTGGTGATATCTCAGCAAACGAATGAAAGACGAAAAAAGAATAAGCAGGTTAACTGTCTTGAATAGCTGGGAGTGAGGTAACTGGGAGCCAAGATCCACACTGTGCTATGAGGGTCACTGTAGTTTTCTTTTCTTTTCTCTCTTCTTTTCTTTTCTCCCCCTTTACTATTATGGTCAGATTTCTCACACCCTGGGAATGACAGGTACACATTTTGATCTATGGAACATGCCATGATTTCTTGAAATCAGGGCTACCTCTTTCATATATACACTTCAATTAGGGGGTCGTTATTTCCCTTACCAAAGACTCAGCACTTCTGTTTCATTAAACAGAGAATCCTTCCAGTGCGTGAAGAGCAGGATTGGATTTATAGAAATCCCATTTACACGGGGCTTGTCAGGAATAGCTGTCTCACAGAGTCAGGCACTAGTCCACTGTCGGGGATCTCCTTTATTCCCTCGGACTCACTCCCGCTCACCCCATAGGACCCGGATCTGTGGACACCACTCTGGGCACCTGACCGCCTGCTCCAGTGGTTTTCCCTCAGAGTCTTCCATCTCCTCCTCCCTGAGTTATATGATGTCACTGACCATCCCATTCTTCCTAAAACCCTCAGAATCCTTGGCTCGGTGGCATTTGCCCACAATGTGTGCCTACCTCATGATCGCCCCTGAGCTTCTGGATGAGTTTGTTGATCTGGCTTCCTGCTGGGCACCTCCAATGGCTGTCCCACTGGCAGAAACCCTGGAGCAGAGGAGTGCCCTCTGCCCCAAACAGGCTCCCCTTTTACATTCCTGTGAGGGGCACCACCGCTCGCCCACTCTCACGGCCACCTCCCTCTCCCTCGTGCCACACGTGCCCTCCACCACCAAGCCGGAAGACGTTCACCTCCTGAATGCATCTCAAGCTAACTCCTCCCTCCGACCCACACGTTAAGCTCCATGGGCACCGGAACTGTCTGTTTCCGTTTGTTACTATAACCCAGGAGTCATCAGCACAGTGCCTGGCACATGATAGACACGTGATGAGCACATGCCAAATGAGCGAATAAGTGAGCAAACAGTCCCATTTTACAAGTTGTAACACTGAGGCTCAGAGAAGAGGAGTGGTTGGCCCAAGGTCATCCAGAGGGAACAACCGGGACTCAGCCCAAGGGTGGCTCCGGGGCCCACTTTGTCACTGCTCTAAGCACAGGGTTGTTTATGTTGTGTCCCTGCTCCTGCCGGGGGCCTCTGCCTTACCTGAGAGCACCGTGAAGACGGCTGCGAAGGCATTGAGCTTGAGCCCGTCAATGACGTTGCTGGAGTGGAAGAGCTCTAGACACATGAGGCTGAAGCCGACCACCAGCAGGAGGATGTAGAGCACCTCGGAGACCACCGACAGCCACAGGACCCCTGCGCGACAGAGGAGAGGCCGTCAGATGAGGGCACACAGGGCGGACACTCCCATGCACATCACGCCCTACACGCTGTGGTCGGGGGATCGAGTCGCTTAGAAGAGACCTCCGCTGCAGGGCAGGCCCTGAGAGGGGGAAGGCCGTGGTGGCCACGCATCCTCCTCACAGGGCTGGCTAAGGAATCCAACCTAAGTCTGGGGCGCTCTGGGGTAGCGGTTGCTTGTCCAGGGTGGCATGTGACCAGTAAGCAGGTCCATTCAGTTGGGAGGGAAGAACTTCTATTTTGTGGCTGTGCAAAAGCCCCTCCTTCTCTTCTTATCTGTTAGGTGACTGCCACTGGGAGTCACCTACGGTCAGGAGGGCACCTGCCTTAGGATGAGGCTGACACTGTAGTTACCAAGCAGAGCAAGAGAAAGGTGACCTCCCTGCACCAGCAATCACCAGCCTTGTGGGCTTCCCTATGGTGAAGCCAGGCAATGCGATGTTCAGTTACCAATGTTACAGCTATAAACGTGGTACACACATCACGCTCGCCCTGGAGGAACACCTGTATGTTTATCTGACTCACACTCTACTCCACTTTTTTCCTATAAACCACCACTGCTACTTCCACAGCTTCAATCTCCTCTTTCTTGTAGGAGCTGTCCTGTTCCACTGTGGTCCCACCTTTCCGGACACAGTTGATTGGTCCAATATGATTATGTGACCTAGAATTGACCAATCAAAGCCCTTCTCTAGGGATCTAAGCCTGGAAACACTGAAATAGACTGGAGGAAAGTCCCCCGTGAGAGTCCAAGCACTCTGACAGTGTAAGCACCCCCTCCCAGTGGATCCTGAAGGCCAGACACATTCCTGTTCTTGCACAGATTCGGCCATTCAAATTTACTTTGTAGTCCCTGAGATAGCACAGCCCTCTTTTCCCCTGAGGGGTCCAAATGGAATTACCATCATTTGTTATTTGTTTAGGAGGCATCTTCCGGTTCTCCCAATCCACATTATTCACCCCTTCTTCCCACACACTTTTTATTTGGAGGGTCCCTTCCCCCTCTCAGGCTACGCAGCTCAGCTCCATGTGCCCCTGACTCTAATCCTTGGTTCAGGAATGAACCTCTCTCTGCCTCAGTTTCTTCACCTATAAAATGAGGGTAATAACATCAGCTGTTCACAGTATTGCTGTGCTGTGAGGATTCAGTTCGTGTGTGCTATTACAGTCGCACAGGAGGAACATGGAGGAGGCTGGAAATAGAGCCCAGGGGCTCCTGAATGTGGTCAAAGCTACAGACAGAGTCCGGATGGAGAAATCGGACTGTGGCAACAGATAAGATGTGTGAAGAAAAGGGTGGAAAGTAGAAGATGGAACACAGTCACGTGACTTATATTCCAAGCCACACCAACCATATGGTTTGAGCAAGGCCCATACTTTAGAGAAAGAACTATGGACCAGGCTTGTCCAGCCAGAGGTGGACACATGACCCCTGTCAGCTCAACTAAAGTCAGCCACAGGACTTCTGCTGGAACTATTGAGAAAGAAAATTCCTTTCTTTCCACTGGTTTTGAGGCTGGGAAGAAGTAAGGATAGAATTGATTGGGTCAGCAGGTGGCAGATGTCAAGGAAGGCAGAGCCAAGAGATGCAGGAAGACTGCATCCTCTAACACTGTTTGAGCTCCTAGATCCTGAAGCTGCACATCTTTTGTTCTTTCAATCACATGAACCAATTAATATCTTGTCTTTGTCTAAGCCAGTTTGAAGTAGAATTTCTAACAATTACAACTGAGAGTCCTTATCTTCAGCTTTGGGGTTCTCTGAAACTGTCAAATGTGTTCTTACCTACCCCTCTGCCTTTGCATAAGTTGTTCCTTCCACCTGGAATGTCCTGGGGACATCCAACTTAAACTATTTAATGAGTGAAGCAAACAAACAGCAATTTCAGGGTCCCTATCTGCTCTCTGAGGAAGAATGCAGGTCCTTAAATACCAACTATCATTCCTGGCACAATGGGGCTTTTAGAGCTTTGAAGAACTTTTTCTTTTTATTCTTTTTTTTTTAACTACAAAAATATCATGTCTCCTGGGCAATCCATTGGATTTCTGTAAGAGAATAATGTGCACTTGGCAGCCTGGACACTGTTAAAACATCCCCTGGCCTGGCACACTTGCAGCCTCCCAGGCGCTTCACTGGCCCAAGGCCCACCGGGCAGCAGGAAGGGAGGCAGAAGATGGAGGGCAAGCTGGGCCTCGTCTCCCCCCCAGCAGCCTTCCCCTCCAGCTGCTATAGCCCCGTGGGTGGGTGGAGGCTGCCCCTCACCACAGCAGCTCCCTGACTCAGCTGCTTCCCCCGCACCACCCCCACATCCCCAGGTGGTGCTCTGGTCTGCGCAGGTGGGCCCTGGGCCAGGCTCGCACACCCCACGTCCCCTCGCAGCAGGGCGAGGTCATGCTCTGTCAGATGGATGGGAGATGGGATGTTTGCTGAGATGGCTGTGGGGGCTGGGATGCTGGGAACCACGGAGAAGCAGGAGCAGAGTGTCAGACGCCTGCCTGGGGTTATGCTTCTTGCTCCGCCAGATTTCCTTCCTTGTCCGTCCACTGGGCTCAGAGCATCTGTCTGAAAGCTTCAGCCCACCCAAGTCAAGAAAACTAATAGCAATAAGAACTGTTGTTATGTTAATAGAGCAACAAGTGTCACAAACGGAGCCTACAGCACTAAGTGGAGTACTAAGTGGTCACCGTGTGCCCAGTAGGTCCGACCAGGGCACCTGCCCCACCCACCACTCCTGTGAGCAGTGTCTCTCCCCTTGGAGCATCGTCCTGGGGCAGCTGAGTCCTCTCCGCTCTCTTCATCAGCAGGTGCCTGCAAGCTCACCTTCCCTCTGTGTTGTCATCCACCAGCAGTGCACCGGGGGCCCTGTCCTGCGGCTCTGGCCGCAACAACCTGGGATGTGACCCGCACTGCAGAAAGCCCCCACTCACCCCCTTGGGGACGAGACTAAAGCGACAGCCCAGGAGTCTCTCCCTGGGCCCTGGCCTGACATTGTCCCCTTACTTGCCTGCCTCCCTTCCCTGTCTTGCTTTCCAATTGCTTTACCACTCTCCCCCGGGCATTTCCTTCATAAAAGACCTGCCACAGTCCCCCTCTCAGAGTCCACTTCCAGGGAATCAGACCTTGGCCACTAATATTCACAGGCGTTATCTCCCCAGTCCTTCCAACCACCTGGCAAGGTAGTGACATCGCACCCGTTTTACAGACGAGCAAATTTAGGTACAGAGGGATTAAACAACTGGTCTACACAGCTAGATAGTGGTATATACTGGATTCAAACCCAGGCCTTTCTGACTCCAAGAACCACCTTGGGGAGAGAGGGAAGCTGGCAGGATGGAGTGGCCACTTCGTAACCTGCATTCTCCAGGCCCGGGCTGGTCTCAGGGGCCCGTCTGGGGAGGGGGCAGTGTTCCCCAGCCGCAGCTCTCATCTGTTTGCTCTCCAGCATCCCAAACAAACTCCGGAACATCCTCTTGCAGGGTTTCTGCAAGAGGATGGCCACTGAGTGGGAAAGCGGGGAACAGGGCTTCAGTTCTCAGTAACCCCAAGCCCAGCTGGCCGCTAGGTGTGGTGGGGAAGGAGGCCGCAGGGAAGAGCAGGTGGGTCTTGAGGACACGGAAGGCCAGGCTGGGGAGGGGGCTGGACCGGTGCCACAGAGACAGGTGCCGTCCCGAAGGCCTCGGCGAGGGAGCCCTGTGCTGGGGTTTGCTCTGGAAGGGTGCGTGGGTGGGGAGACCAGGTGGAGGCTTTTGCTGCACTCTGTGTGAAAGACGGTGGTGGCCTGGCTGGTGGCAATGACCAGAGTGAGGACAAGTGGGGAACTTGCTAACTCCCGAGGGGTAGGCTCAGAGGGCTGCTGACCCACGGATGTGGTGGCAAAGGAGAGGGAGGAGTCCAGAGTAGGGCCACGTTTACAGCGTGGGCAACTGAGCGGATGGTCACGCTCGTCACTGAGAATGCGACGATGCTACGGCGTGAAGATGATGAGGCCCCTTCTGGACGGGCAGAGTCTGCATCTGCTTCAGGACATCAGGGGGCAGCTGAAGCACAGACAGAGCTGCAGGGGCACTGGCAGGGCACAGGCGCTCACTGAACGTTTGCTGTGACTGCCCGGCAGACAGACCTGCTGGAGGTGGGGGCGGGTGAGGCGCCTGCGGAAAGCACGTGGAGCAAAGGCGAGAGGAGTGGGAAGTGGCATCCACGGAACGTCAGTAGTCCGGGGGCGAGGGCTGTGAGAGCCCAGTGACACCGTGGGTGTCCCACCCATCCCTGCCCACAGTGCACTGTCGCCTGTCAGTCCCTGCACCCCCTGCCCTCCGGAGGGCTTGCCCTGGTCTCCAGAGCCTACCCCCACCCACTGCACTCACCTTTGCAGCAGGCTGGGGATCGACACCTCCCTGCCTCCCACCCCCAGCAGCTGCCCTCAGCCAATGCCTGAGGTGGGCTGGTGAGCAGGTACCCCCAGGGGGGCAACGCAGGGAGGAGGTGCTACCTACCTGGTGTTAAGTGTGTTAAACCACACCATCGAATTGTCTGAATCAAAAAGTGAAAAAGCTATTCACTTTTCCGTTAATTTTTAAATTGTTAACACCTCAGTCAAGAGTCTCTATTTGATGTTAATGTGTCCTTAACACCTTTCCAACACTTGTTAATTGTTGGAGACAACGAGAGGGCTCAGAGTCTCAGGCAGGCTTGAAGAACAGCTGACAGTCACTTTCTGTGCTGATGATTCCTGTCCCCGCCCAACCCACCACACGGCTCCGCCTCTGTCTTGGGCCACCTCTTTGGCAGTGGCTTCGTCCTGCTGCCCGAGACCGCAGCTCCGAGGTTCATCGTCACAGCTGCAGCTCCTACAGGCTCCCCCGCCCAGGGCTGGTAACAGCTCTCCTCTGCTGCCAGTCTTTGGGGGCTTCAGTCTCTTGCCCTTCCCACAGCCCTGTAAGGGGCCCTTTCGGCAG